CGGGACACAGAATCGTTACTCAGGACACAGAATTGTTTTACTCAGGACACAGAATTGTTACTCAGGTTACAACAGGGACACAGAATCGTTACTGAGGGACACAGAATTGTTACTCAGGGACACAGAATTTGTTACTCAGGGACACAGAATCGTTACTCAGGGACACAGAATTGTTACTCAGAGGACACAGAATTGTTACTGAGGGACACAGAATCGTTACTGAGGGACACAGAATCGTTACTCAGGGACAGGGACAGAATCGTTACTCAGGGACACAGAATAGTTACTCAGGGACACAGAATCGTTACTCAGGGACACAGAATCGTTACTCAGGGACACAGAATCGTTACTGAGGGACACAGAATCGTTACTGAGGGACACAGAATCGTTACTCAGGGACACAGAATCGTTACTCAGGGACACAGAATTGTTACTCAGGGACACAGAATTGTTACTGAGGGACACAGAATCGTTACTGAGGGACACAGAATTGTTACTCAGGGACACAGAATTGTTACTCAGGGACACAGAATCGTTACTCAGGGACACAGAATCGTTACTCAGGGACACAGAATTGTTACTCAGGGACACAGAATCGTTACTGAGGGACACAGAATCGTTACTCAGGGACACAGAATCGTTACTCAGGGACACAGAATTGTTACTCATGGACACAGAATCGTTACTCAGGGACACAGAATTGTTACTCAGGGACACAGAATCGTTACTCAGGGACACAGAATCGTTACTCAGGGACACAGAATCGTTGAATTAAAAAGTATGTCAGACAACACGCAGAGGAGTGGCAGAGGAGGCAATGTTTCAGGAGCGAGCAGACGTGGCAGCAGAGGAAGGGGTCGAGGCAGCACTAGTCGCAGCCAGAGGCCAGTGCTCCCGGTGTCATCCAGCGGTCGTGTCTCCACCGACAACCCTGCCGTCATCGATTGGTTGGCTCAGTCGTCTTCCTCTTCCCAGGTCACCTCTGACACCTACAGCCAACGGTCGGTGGGTACGTCAGACACAACCGTTAGTTGGCATGGCCCGGGAGCAAGCCCACTGAAATCACGTGTCCTCTACCTGCCCCTGTCCTTTGGTGTTCCCTCACCAAGCGAAGTATTGCATGCTGTGGGCTCAGCCCCACTGTACAGTAAGGAAGAGCTAACAGAGGGCGGTCAGGAACGGGGGGAGACATCCGCCTCTTCAGCAGCCAGGCGAAGAAGTACTGGCGTGATAAACAATACAATTTATTAACACTAACAATACAAACATAAATGCAGTGCAATACTAAAACATAACACAGTGCAAACAAACCAAACCAACCACCCACAGATAACAGTATATACAAGCAAGCGTCGTCAGGCAGGCCGGGTCAATATCAATGGGCAGGTAGGTACAGGGGGAGCAAGCAGAGAATGGTCGGGGTCACAGGCCAGGTTCAGCAGGTAGCAAGCAGCGTAGTACAGAGGGTCAGACAGAAGGATGGTCAGGGTCACAAGCCAGGATCAGAGCAGGAGAAGTCAGCAAAGGAACAGAAACAGGATGCAGGACAGATACAGGGCCCAGGACAAACACAACACCAAGGCAGAGTCTGCAAGTCTGGCCATCCCTTAAATACCCCAGTATCATCAGTTCCAGGTGTTAGCTGGCTGAAAGGTTGAGTCTCTGATTGCTGGGAGCACCCGCTGGCCAGCCCTGGTACTGCAGATCAAAAGGCAGGTGAGTCCCACCATTGCTGGCCAGTCCATTCCTAACAGTACCCCCCCCCCCTCAAGGAGCGGCCTCAGGACGCTCCAAACAGTCCTAGCTGGGCAAAATGTTCCACCGCCCGGGTCTGGTAACTGGCGGGATATCAAAGACTGGCACTGGCACACACCGGGCAGGACTCCGGGCAGCGGCACACCGGGCTGGACTCCGGGCAGAGGCACACCGGGCTGGGGCACACACCGGGCAGGACACCGGGCAGAGGCACATCGGGCAGAGGCACATCGGGCAGAGGCACATCGGGGGCAGAGGCACATCGGGCAGAGGCACATCGGGCAGAGGCACATCGGGCAGGGCACATCGGGCAGAGGCACATCGGGCAGAGGCACACCGGGCAGAGGCACATCGGGCAGCAGAGGCACATCACACTCCGGGCAGAGGCACACGGGCAGAGGCACAGGCAGAGGCACATCGGGCAGAGGCACATCGGGCAGAGGCACACATCGGGCAGAGGCACATCGGGCAGACTCCGGGCAGAGGCACATCGGGCAGGGGCACTCCGGGCAGAGGCACATCGGGCAGGACTCCGGGCAGAGGCACATCGGGCAGGACTCACAGGCAGAGGCACATCGGGCAGGACTCCGGGCAGAGGCACATCGGGCAGAGGCACCGGGCAGGGCAGAGGCACATCAGGCAGAGGCACATCGGGCAGGACACGGCACACATCGGCAGGACTCCGGGCAGAGGCACATCAGGGGCACATCGGGCAGGACTCCGGGCAGAGGCACATCGGGCAGGACTCCGGGCAGAGGCACATCGGGCAGGACTCCGGGCAGAGGCACATCGGGGCAGGGCACTCCGGGCAGAGGCACATCGGCAGGACTCCGGGCAGGCGGAGCAGGGCAGGGGCCCCCGGGCGGAGGCAGGCGGGCCCCCGGGCGGGCACAGGGGCGGGCGGAGCAGCAGGCACCCCCCGGGCGGAGCAGCAGGCACCGGGCCCCCGGGCGGAGCAGCAGGCACAGGCACCGGGCGGAGCAGCAGGGCACCGGGCCCCCGGGCGGAGCAGCAGGCACCGGGCCCCCGGGCGGAGCGGGCACCGGGCCCCCGGCAGCAGGCACCGGGCCCCCGGGCGGAGCAGCAGGCACCGGGCCCCCGGGCGGGGCAGCAGGCACCGGGCCCCCGGGCGGGCAGCAGGCACCGGGCCCCCGGCGGGGCACAGCACCGGGCCCCCGGGCGGCACCGGGCCCCCGGGCGGAGCAGGCAGGCACCGGGCCCCCAGGCGGGGCGACAGGGCACCGGGCCCCCGGGCGGGGCGGGGGCCCCCGGCGGGGGCAGGCATCGGCCCCCAGGCGGGGCGACAGGCATCGTGCCCCCAGGCGGGGCGACAGGCAGGGGCCCCCAGGCGGGGCATCGTGCCCCCAGGCGGGGCGACAGGCATCGGCCCCCAGGCGGGGCGACAGGCACCGGCGGCGGGGCGACAGGCATCGGGCGGGGCGACAGGCATCCCCCCAGGCGGGGCCAGGCATCGGCGGGGCGACAGGCATCGTGCCCCCAGGCGGGGCGACAGGCATCGGGCCCCCAGGGAGCGGCGGGGCGGGGCGCCGGCCCCCAGGCGGGGCGACAGGGCACAGGTCTCGGGCCCCCAGGCGGGGGCGGCGGGCCGGGCCCCCAGGCGGGACCCCCCCCCTCAGGCGGGCGGGCCCCCGGCCGGCCCAGGCGGGGCGAGCGACAGGGCGCGGGCCCCCAGGCGGAGGGCGGCGGGCGGCCGGACCCCCCCAGGCGGAGCGACAGGTCTCGGGCCCTCAGGCGGAGCGGCGGGCGCCGGACCCCCAGGCGGAGCGACAGGTCTCGGGCCCTCAGGGAGGCGGCGGGCGCCGGACCCCCAGGAGGAGCGAGCGACAGGTCTCGGGCCCTCAGGCGGAGCGGCGGGCGCCGGACCCCCAGGCGGAGCGGAGCGACAGGTCTCGGGCCCTCAGGCGGAGCGGCGGGCGCCGGACCCCCAGGCGGAGCGACAGGTCTCGGGCCCTCAGGCGGAGCGGCGGGCGCCGGACCCCCAGGCGGAGCGGAGCGACAGGTCAGGTCTCGGGCCCTCAGGGCGGGCGCGACAGGTCCTCGGAGGGCGGCGCCGGACGCGGAGCGGGGGCCCCCCCCAGGGGAGCGACAGGTCTCGGGCCCCCAGGCGGAGCGGGCGGAGCGGGCGGGCCGGACCCCCAGGTGGAGCGACAGGTCTCGGACCCCCTCAGGCGGAGTGGCGGGCGCCGGACCCCCCCAGGCGGAACGACAGGTCTCAGGCCCCCAGGCGGGGCGGCGGGCACCGAGTCACCAGGCACAACCCGTGGGCTCTCCGAGTCAACTGGGATGACCGCTGGCACTGGGTCAGACATTGGATCGTCTGGCTGGACAGCGGTCATCGGGTCACCAGGCATCAGGTCATTTGGCTCGACAGCGGGCACCGCGTCATCTGGCAAGGCAGTGGGCTCCGAGTCAACTGGTATGACCGCGGGCACTGGGTCAGACATTGGATCGTCTGGCTGGACAGCGGGCACTGGGTCACCAGGCATCAGGTCATTTGGCTTGACAGCGGGCACCGCGTCATCTGGCAAGGCAGTGGGCTCCGAGTCAACAGGGCACGACAGTGAGCACCGGGTCATCAGGTACCGGATTGTCTGGCTCGACAGCGGGCACCGCGTCATCTGGCAAGGCAGTGGGCTCCGAGTCAACTGGTATGACCGCGGGCACTGGGTCAGACATTGGATCGTCTGGCTGGACAGCGGGCACTGGGTCACCAGGCATCAGGTCATTTGGCTTGACAGCGGGCACCGCGTCATCTGGCAAGGCAGTGGGCTCCGAGTCAACAGGCACGACAGTGAGCACCGGGTCATCAGGTACCGGATTGTCTGGCTCGACAGCGGGCATCGGGTCACCAGGTATGACAGCGGGCACTGGGTCACCAGGCATCAGGTCATTTGGCTCGACAGCGGGCACCGGATCAGGTACCGGATCATCTGGATCAACAGCGGGCATCGAGTCAACTGGCCTAATAGGATCGTCAGGCTGGATCAGTTCATCATGCTGGGTAGAGGCATCAGGCCGAAGTAGAGGCTTCAGGCCAGGCCGAGTAGAGGCTTCAGGCCGAGGCTTCAGGCCGAGTAGAGGCATCAGGCCGAGTAGAGGCTTCAGGCCGAGTAGAGGCTTCAGGCCGAGTAGAGGCTTCAGGCCGAGTAGAGGCATCAGGCCGAGTAGAGGCATCAGGCCGAGTAGAGGCATCAGGCCGAGTAGAGGCATCAGGCCGAGTAGAGGCTTCAGGCCGAGTAGAGGCAGGCCGAGTAGAGGCATCAGGCCGAGTAGAGGCATCAGGCTGAGTAGAGGCATCAGGCTGAAGAGAGGCATCAGGCTGCGTACCGGCATCAGGCTGAGGCTGAGAGAGGCTTCAGGCTGAACCACGGAAGGCAGGCTCACCGGTTTGGATACTGGCAGGATGGTATTGGTTGGAAAGAATTTTCGCTTTTTTCTGGTTTTAACTACTGGAGCACTGCAAGTAAACGCAGGTCTGCAAACGAATGGAGCAGCTGGAGACAGAGAAGAACTGGAGGATGGAACAGGAGAGGGAGCGGTTGCTACAGAGGGCTTTTTTACAGGGTTAAAGGCAGGATAGGTGCAGCGAGTGGGAACAGGGTACTGACATGCGGTAGATAGCAGGGCAGGAGGAGCTGTTGGGAATGCAGGAATAGAGTTTTGAGGAAATAGATTAGAAGCAGGACTGGGTCTTTGTAAGCTGACTGAGGCTGGGTGCAACAAATCTGTCCATGTCTGCAGTATGGGTTGAACAAAGCTGAGCTTACACAAAGCCTGTCTGGTCAATGACTGCACTGCGTTTATACAGTCTCTTAGTACCTGTGGTGAACATGTGGAATAACGCTCCAGAAAGTAACCCACATCATCCTCTAATAACCACACCAGGGACTCTACCTGGTCTGCACTAAATGGTGGCAAAAATTCATCCCTGCATTCGGGGGAACCAGATGAAACCAATTCAGCACAAACTTCAATCAAAGGCTGCACCTCAGAGAACTCTATGCCCTGATCTACTAGAACATGAGCGAGCCGTATACATTCTAGCAGTTCATCCCGGGTATACTCCTTCAGAGTCTGATAAGCATACTCCCTGTCATCAAACACTAGCAGATATAAATATTCAACCTCATCCAGATCCATCCTTCCCATCAACAAGCCAAGATGGCTTCCCTGTGTGCAGCCACTTCTGGTCAGGATTGGCCTTGGTGTAATGTCAGGGCTCCCAGGTATGACCAGAGGTGTGTGACTGATGCAGGGAAACGCAGACTTCAGATATGTGATAAACAATACAATTTATTAACACTAACAATACAAACATAAATGCAGTGCAATACTAAAACATAACACAGTGCAAACAAACCAAACCAACCACCCACAGATAACAGTATATACAAGCAAGCGTCGTCAGGCAGGCCGGGTCAATATCAATGGGCAGGTAGGTACAGGGGGAGCAAGCAGAGAATGGTCGGGGTCACAGGCCAGGTTCAGCAGGTAGCAAGCAGCGTAGTACAGAGGGTCAGACAGAAGGATGGTCAGGGTCACAAGCCAGGATCAGAGCAGGAGAAGTCAGCAAAGGAACAGAAACAGGATGCAGGACAGATACAGGGCCCAGGACAAACACAACACCAAGGCAGAGTCTGCAAGTCTGGCCATCCCTTAAATACCCCAGTATCATCAGTTCCAGGTGTTAGGTACGGCCTCCCATTGCTGCTGTCTCCATCGCCACACTCTGCCATGTGCCACTTTCAGGTCTCCTCACACTGCTGGTGGGTTCCATTTTGTCATAGGGTGCTGTATGGCCTCCCATTGCTGCTGCCAGGCCCGTAATCTGCCATGGGCCCCCGTACCGACTCCTCATGCTGCTGCCAGGCCCGTAATCTGTCATGGGCCCCTGTACCGCCTCCTCATGCTGCTGCCAGGTCTAGAGTGTGTCATGGGTCCCTGTACGGCCTCCCATTGCTGCTGTCTCCATCGCCACACTCTGCCATGTGCCACTTTCAGGTCTCCTCACACTGCTGGTGGGTTCCATTTTTTCATAGGGTGCTGTATGGCCTCCCATTGCTGCTGCCTCCACCGCCACACTGTGGCTCCACACTCTGGTTTTGGCCCCGTGACTGGCCAAATGAGTGAAGTGTGCGGTGATTCTAAGATCGACGGCACTCATCTGCATGTCATACTGACTGTCAGTATTATTTCTCTTCCCCAGCAGACTCCAAGGGCATTTTAATTAAAGGTACAGTGTTCTGCAATAATATAAAGGCTCTCTGAAGCCTAGAAACACCCTTTTTATAAGTTAAATTCGCAGCGAATATATTCGACTCGAATCAAATTTATTCCGCGAATTCGCCGAATCAGCCGAATCGAATTTTTGAATAATTCGCTCATCTCTAATTGTGATCTAAGGAGATTGAGATTGGAGCGTGATCCGACCAGGTTATGGTACCAATTTCGGAGGATGTGGCGTTTTGTAAAGTCCACTTGTCCATGATGAAAAAGTCAATTCTGCAGTAGGAGAGTTGAGATGAGGAATAGTAGGTGTAGTCTTTTTCTGTATTGTGATGGCATCGCTAGATGTCGTAGAGGTCATTCTTATGTAGAAAGACGTTAAAAGATTGCTTGGAGGAGTGTTTGCTAGAAGAAGAGTCCAGGAGTGGGTTGCCGATAATGTTGAAGTCTCCTCCTATAATTATTCTGCCTTGTTTCTGAGCGGAAATAGTGGAATTGATTTTGTTGTAGAACTGGAGTTGGTTGGTGTTTGGACCATAGATGTTGACCAGGGTGTATAGGATTCCATTAATTTTGCATATCAGGATATGGTAGAGACCTTGTGGGTCTGCGACTTATGAGATGTAGTGGTATTGGAGAGAGTCTCTTATGGCTGTGATGACGCCGTTCTTTTTTTGGGGGCTGGTTACCATATAAATTGGAGAAAATGGTGTATGTGAAATTTGGGGATTTTTTGGTGGCAAAAAAGGAAGGAATAGGACATCAGCCTGCAAATAGTGAGCCTCTTTTTGTAGTAGAGATCTTTTGAACGGTGAGTTGAGGTCACGGACATTTAAGGATGATATTTTAATCATAGTTCTGGATGTAGGTGAGTTGTCCGGAGTAGCAGAGGTATGTCATAGGTTATGTAGAGTAATGGCATATCTTTTTGTTGTTTTGGAGAAGTTTCTACAAAAAAGAGGTAACGTGCTGGATGCGGTCGCTGGTTTGATGAGGATATTTCATCTTGTAGGTCGTTATTTCGAGTGAGGAGGGGTTGAGTCGATCGACTGGTAGAGGTAGGAGGGTAAGTGGGTAAAAAAAACTTGTTGAAAACACAAGTGGTATGTGTAGCACCTATTGCTACTGTGTAACGGGGGGATTTGAACATACATGACTTACGTGGGAAGTCATGTTGACGAAAAACTTGGGGTTCGAGGATGATCATAATGGGGCCAGCCATTAGTGGTTGATAGAGTCCCAGCTTGTTGGGTGGTTGTTGATGGTGGTGATCTTAGGATCCGGACCATTCTGCTTCCATGTGCTGGTATGATATTCCAGGCTTTCAAGAGATCGATGCCTGCTTCAAGGGATTTAATCGTAAAGAGCCTTCCTTGTTGTTTAACAATGAGCTTTGTGGGGAAGCCCCATTGGTAGCCAATTCCATGGTTCCGCAAGGCTTTTGTTATAGTGACAAGCTTCTTGCGGTTGAGAAGTATGGCTTTAGATAGGTCTGCAAATAATTTTATATTCGCTTGATCTGGTGGTAGTGATGCAGTGTTTCTCGCCGCTATCATAATTTTTTCTTTCACATGGTAAAAGTGGATGCGTGCCAGGATGTCCCTAGGTATTGCGCCCGGTAGGAACGATGGTTTTGGTAACCTATGCGCACGATCTATAGCAAGCTCTACATTTGATAGGGAAGGAATGAGGTTTTTCATGTATTGTTGTAAATATGATACTATGGCGTCCGAATTGATGTTTTCTGGGATTCCGCAGAATTTGATGTTGATCCGCTAGTGTGAGGTTCTATGTCAGTGCCCTGGTCTGTGTGTGCGTCTATTAGGTCGTTGTGAGCTGCGGACATTTCCCCCATTTTATTTTCAATATGGCGGATACAGTGGTCTTGTTGTTGTACCGCGGTTGAAATTTGAGATAGTGTCGTCGTCAGGTCATCATGTAAAGTTTGTCGCAGTGTAAGAAGCATACTTTTCATAGACAGTTCAGTGATAGGCTGGTCTGAAGCAGGAAAATTTACTATTAAGGACAGAGTAGAGATAGCAGTATTGAGTGCAGAATAGGAAGGCTGAGTGATAGGAGGATTTTCTATGCCCAGCCTAGGTCTGGACTTAGCAGGGCTGCTTGTGGTGGGAGACAGGGGTGGAGAGGACTCACCAGGGTCTCCAGGATATAATGATACTTTGAGCCTGGGGTCTGTGGTGTGCTCTGTGCTGCATTCTGGCTGTGAGGCATCATGCTGTGAGGAGCCAGCGCCAGCTTGGCTTGGCTACAGGGGCTGAGAGCTGAGAAAAAGCTTGTCAGCTTTCCCAGCTTCCCTGGTGATCTGCGGTGTCGAGGTATATCCCTGGGGATCTAATGGAGACCTGCGTCCCCTTATCAGTGTGGGGAGAGGTCTGTGCTGTCCCTGGGTCTAGTGAGTGCCGGGTTATGGCGGGGATACGGAGCTCTCTTCACAGAGCTGTCATCCCGGAGATGCGCCCCTCCATTTCAGCTTTAATTCTTACCAGTGTCAAGTGGGTTAAATAGCACCTAAATGCGTCTTTATTTTTGGATATCTGAATTTCAGAATTTACACCAATGTCAATAAAATATGAACAGATAAATATAATACAACATTAACAAACTAACAATAAAACAGAATCGCATCTGTTCCCCCACCCACAACCACCTGCAGCTGAATTGAGTTGCTATTATGAGCCATTCTAAATGGCACCCCCCATGCATCTCAGCATGCAGCATGTTTGCGGATGTCGTAACCACAGGGAAATCACTTTGTTTAAAGTTGCATGCACCTTTTTTGTGTGGGAAACGAGGGCACAGCAACCTATTCAAATGAATGGACTTCTGTGCCCGAGCAAGTGTGGGCCACACGGCCCACAATAGTGTGAACTGAGCCTGAATCTGTACTAATATCTGTGCTTCATCTATATTTTAAAACCCCCATATAGTACATAGGCAACTAAGGGGTCTACATATAAAAAAAAAGTATGCAAATGTCTGAGCATTCTTACAGCCATCACAGATAACTCCCACAATTTTTTTAACATGTTTATTTTCTGTAAGGAAATTCCCGTGAGACGGGTGGCA